CCAGACTTTCCTGGCTCCGTCAGCTCTCCAGGCCAGGGAAGTGACCCATATCCCAGGCAGTTGTCCAAAAAGGTGGAAAGATGTGGCTGAAGAAAGCACAGCCATTGGAGGACTGACTCTGGGTCCCCCGTCCCAAAATGGAAAGCTCACATTCAGAGCATGAAGCACAGGCAAAGATCGCTGCAGCATGGAAACAACACAGTGCACCCACCTGTACTAGCTGGATACAGCTCCTGGCTGTGGTGGGGGCAGGCCAGCGAGCAAGGCCTGAGAGAGGAGCAGGGAATACAGGCTCTGGCTCGCGCTGAGTGGCACTGCGCTCCCGCCACTCTGGGTCACCACAGCAGATGCCGGGAGCATATGCCATGAATTAATTCCACCTTCCCTGAGACGCTCCAGAGAGAGGAATGGTGGTGCCTTTCCAACTTATTAACATAGAAGCTCCCCCCCACCTCCCATCACTTTGTCACACTTAATAAAACAGCCAGCCACAGTCCCTTTAAGAGGCTCCTGGCTGGCAGGCAGGCTCTTTAATGGAAAGTTGCTGGGTCTGGCTTTTTTTCCTACAGTTTTTTTTTCCATCACTGTGTATGCTGTCTCTGCCCCAATATTCCCACACTACCAACAAACTGTACTCTAGTAAAACATCTCCACCAAGAAAGTCTATAATCCACCAAGAAAGCCTATAAATATTGTATTTACTATTATAAGCAAAACTAGACATTTCTAAAACTGATAGGACCTACATTTAATTTTTCCTTTGTGCACTTCTTTTACCTTGTCTGTGATGAGGCTCACCACTTGCCTGGGGTAGCCTATTGAGCCCTGAGCCTACAAGAGGCTATCTGTGGGTAGATATTTACACTCATCCAGAATCCCAGCAAATCTCTGGGCAAACACCCCAGATCAGCTCACCGACAACACACGCTTCAACAGATTTGCAGCTCTCCCTCAGCAATGTACGAACAGAGAACAAAGAGCAAGCAGGACACAACTGTCTACATTGAACAGCCACCTTCAAACTGAAGATGGGAAACACTCAGCAGGTATATGAAAGCCATGTTTTAATCAGGCACTTGAGGTTCCTTTTTTCTAACTCTGATTCTGCTGCCACAGATTTGCTGTGTGGCCCCAGGCACACCACTGCACCTCACTTTACCCCTCTGTGATATAGGTCTGTGGAGATGTGAAGGGATTACTGCTCTGTTCCTTGGCTAGGCACAGCCCAGAGAGCTGATCTGAGTTCCAGGAGCTGGCTGCGCTGTTCTGAGAACTGCTCCTCACTTCTCACCTCACCTGAGGACCAACCAGAGCTACATCTTTGCAGTCTACAAGAAAAAAATTACACTTGCCATTTCTTCCTTTGCATGCTCTTTCCATGGGACTTTTCACAAGTGCAGGTTCCTGAGGCAGCTCTGTCACAGCCAATACACACTGGTGCATCACCTCAAGCCAAGAACTGGACTGGGCATGTAAAAACATCTCATTATTTCTTTTTAGCAAGGAGAGTAACAGGAACAGGTTCTCCTCTAACAGCACCAGGACTTGAGAGAGAAGCAATAGGTGTCAGTCACCTTCCCAGCACTGCAACCAAAACACAACTGTGGGAGGAAGCTGGGTGGGAATAGTTTGCTGGAGGAAGGCCAGGAGCCAGACACTCTCCTCCCCTCCTCCAGCTGGGGAAGGAATTGAAAAGACAGGGAAACAACTCTCAGTCTATTAAGTTTATTGAAGGAAATTAAAGAGACAACTTGATCACAGTGCACATAAATACTGAAGCAAGGAGAAAATATGACAGCATGGCTTAACTGGGAAGGTGAAAGCATAAGCAGGCACAGGGAACTGAAGATGAAACTCAAAAACTGAGTCTAGAAATAAAGTAGATTTTGAAACATAAGGGCAATTATCTGTTAGAAAAACTAACCAGGGAAGACCTTCAAATATAATGTCTGCCTTTTAGAAAGGCAGGCAAAGCTCAGCCACATCTCACTGGACTCTACCTTGGCCTGTATTATAGCAGGCCAGGCTAAATGATCAAAGCCACCCCTTCACACCTTAAAACAGATGAGGTTGTGATTTTTTTCAAGCCCTACTCTCGAACTCTGCCTGGGTATTTGCTGGGCTCCCAAGGTCCCAGAGTGGGCACAGGCCTGGCTCACACACACTTGCCTCCCACTCCATCCAGCCCTCCCACTCCATCCCTGCCTAGAGCCTCAAGCCAGAGGTGGGTAGCCAACATCACCCAGCCCCAAGCACACTCCTCTGGGAGATTTTATGCAGCTTTAGAGCTGCTTGTCCAGCATAACATGACCACAGTTCACCAGCAAAGGCCTTATTCAACTCCCACTATGCTCTTCCTGTGCTCTGTTCTCTCCTGGCTCCCCACCAGCACCTGCTCTGGCCTCAATCCCCTCCAAATTTTATGCATACTCTGTTCCCAAATCATGCAACCTCCTTGCTCCTACCCTGCCTCTCCCACAAAACCCTCTTGCTTTGGCCCCCTTCTCCCCACAACCTGCCTCAAATAGCCCTCCCCAAGCCCTCCCCCAATCCTACCTCAACGTCTCCAGGAGGACCTCCAGGGTCTGATATCCCTCCTGCTCTTGTTTTCAAGGGGGTGCTTTCATCTTCCTCTTGACTCCTGAAGGGCCCCTGTGGCCTCTGAGGGGCTGAGCACCACTGCACAGCCCAGCACTTCTCATTCCTCCCTGTTGGGAGAGCAGCCAGACAGGAGTGTTCTGCCCGCCCAGGATGATCAGAGCAGCTCTTGGAGGCAGAAGATGGCTCTACCCGCATTCCTGGAGACAGCCCAGGATTGTTGGTGCAGCATATAGCTGCTAGAGGAGCAATCGCCTTGCCACGACTCTTGCATGGAGCACTCAGTGGCTACAGTCCTAACTACTGCTTAGTTACCCCCTCTTAATGTTCCACATGGCCAGCAATGCCACCTCCCCAAGCTCTTAAAGAAAATGCAACACATAATATTTCACATATCACACACCATACCTCAGGCTGGGTGGCCAGAGATGCTGGATTCATAGCTCAGCCACTCTTGTCCCTTGGACCTTGGCTTTTGTGGTCATTGAAAATTGGTTGATTTGCACTGGGTGACTGCCTGGTTTTATGAGGTGACCCAAAAGTGCAAGGCCTCCTATGCTTTGCAACAGTGACTGAAGGGTGGGCTCTCAACGTTCCTTTCTTTCTCTGCTCGTGTTGTTTTCCTGCCCTCCTCCTTGATAAACAGGAGGCGAGTGCAGCATCATAGTAGGAAAACAGTTACTTTGCTAGTAGGGACATGGTGCAGAGACCCAAGCTGCAGTGGGGGTACTTGCAGTCTGGTTTGGGCTGCTCCTGCAACCACCAAAGTTAGTCCTTTCTCAGGGTACAGAAAGTTGTTTGCTTCATACTTCAAAGAAGCCAGTCTCGCTTGAAGTAGATACTACTGAATAAGGTGATACCAGGCAAGCATCTTATAGGAGCAGTGTGGATTAGAGCCTCAGATCAAGAAGCAAGAGAATCCACACTAGATGGTCCTACAGTTTGCAACTCAGAGGAAATTGAGTGCCTCTGCTTTCTCTGTGATCTCTGAGAGATGAACTGAGCAAATCCATGTCCCATCCCATCCTTCTCTTCCTCTCAGACTGGCTTGTTAGGTTTGTCTGATTTACTAAACTATTTCAGTTTGCTGAAGTTAATTTATTTTTTTACCTGGAATGTGGGAAGCATTCTAAATTCTCTTTGTCCAAGAACCATAGGTGTCACAGAAAAACAGATGCTATCTCAGCTAGGAAGTTTCTGTTCATACCAAAACAGGTTTCTCTGCTCAGAGAAAGACTTCGTAATTACCCTCCATACACTGGCCTCTCAAGCTTCTGTCTCACCTAGCTTTCTATAGGGAAGATTTCTTGGTTGTAAAAAACCTTAGTGTCTCCTTTAGACAGACGACTCCCTGCCTTGTTTTGGTGGCCCCAGAGTTAGACACAATTGGTTCTCTCTTGTTGCTAGAATTGTGTGGCATATCAACTCTGATCTGAAATTTTGCAGACTACTAAATTCACAGTGAGTTATATGACCTGTCCTGCTGTCATATAACCCCATAAGAGTGGGGATGCAGTGCTCTATTAGACTGACCAAACAAGCTAAGAAAAACAGTACAGCAAGCCTTCCTCCCAGCACCTGCACTGCTCCTCACAAGTATGGTGCAAGATTCTCCAATGGAACAAGGTTTTGAAGGACATTGGCTTAGAAGTAATGTTACTGTTTCCTGCAAATAATGACCATGATTCTATGGGGACAAGGCATTAACAGCTAAATGGGTTTTTCTTTAGATTACAGTAAGAGTGGATAACTTGGTTCCAAGGAGACACCCACCAGGGAGTTACCTTGTTTCAGAGCAGCAGGCTCCACTCTTTCAGATTCATGGAATAAACAGTATTTTCTTTGCAAACTACCTATTGCCTGAAGCTATCTCCGTTCAGGCTGTGATCTCATCTGATTGCAAAAGCTAAGCAGGGTTAGGCCTGGTCAGAATTTAGCCAGAAAATCTCAAGGGAAAAAAGAGGTGCTGTAAGAAGTGGTGTTGGCAGTTTAATAAGTGATGCCGCTTCCTCTCAGTCAATACAGAGGTAACGTTCCAGGAGAGAGGTTAAACTAGCAGGGGATGGCTGGAGGCTGCTGGATGAAATGTAAAATGGATATCCTGACAACTTACAGCATCTGTTGTGAGGAGGAAGGTAATCTTGATGTCCTAGGCAAACAAATCCTATCAGCCTAAGTTTCACTGATAGCCATCACCAAAAACCACACTCCATTGTAAGATGGTCCAATTTAGAGGCTGCATTTCCGTAGAGGAAAGATCAACCATTGCAGTGATCTGTAAAGGTGCTAGTGAGGTGGAAGTGACTGTTCATAAGTAAATAATTTATTGTGTTGAGAATTCTTAATCTCTTTTCTGAATAAAGATTCTTATTACAAAATACTAAAAACTTCTCCTGAGCCAGTTTTCCTATGAAGCAAGGTCCTATTTATTTTCATGTCTGAAATAAATCCTCTAATACAAACAAGTGAATATAAAATGAAAGTGCTAAACTATTTACAGCTATGCATGTATATGTCTGGTGTGCCGGTGCTCTAAGGCAGACTGAGGTGGTCCTCTCTCTCAGAATGTCCCAGGTCCCACTCAGTCACTAGTTCTGAGGACACCTCTGTGAAGAGATGGTCCCAATCCCAGATGACATCATCCTACCAAGAGGAAAAAGAAAAACATGCTGAAATGTTAGTGATACCCAAAGGTCTCTGAACAATGCCAAATACTCAGGATGAACAGCAAAGAAAGAGAGAAACTAAATGGCAACTGCCCTGGCCAGGGAAGTCCCAGATTCAGTTGGCTATAACAGAAATCCTAGTCAGAATGAAATGTGAATCCCTGCTACAATTTAAAGATGTTGACAGAATTATTCATGTTCCAAAATTCCATAAAGGACAGATTATTTTGATACTTGTTAACCTTAGATATTCCCTGGCAAGGCATAAAGAGGAGCCATAAAAATCTTCCACCCTTCTGTACTTCTGCTGAGGCATCTGCAATTCTGAGCTGCAGAAATCCTCTAAGTCCTGAGCTCCTGCCTGCCCAGTTGTGTTGAGGTTGCTCTGTCCTGCTTTAAAACATCCCTCTGCACAAACCCCAAATGCTTTCTGCCTTTGTTTCTCTGTACCACCCTGTACCACCACCTGGAGCTCATGGTGGCTACCAAAGACAGTACACAACACAGCACTGTTTCTGCAGGGATCTGTGGCAGTGCCAGGTCCTTCACATTTTCTTTACTAGCTCTTTCATACTGAAGGAGGCCAATCATAGTGATGCCATAATCTCACACAGATTATATATCTTTAAAATAATCTGCTGGGGAAATCCAATCTCCATCAGTTTGGACAAGCTCCTCCTCACCTCTTTCCTCCACCCCATTGACAAATGTTTACTTTCCAAGTATAGTATGAGACACACAAGAAGCTTCTGCCTTGTTGATATTCCAAGACTCACCTCTCGTAGTTCATGCTCTGGAGCCAAAACTTTGGTAAGAAGCTTCAGGTCAACCTCTCCATCCTATGAACACACACATAGAGTCACCATCTTACGGACAGTGAAAAAGTGGACAGCATTGTTTCACTAGGTAGGTCTTGCTAGAGATAGGCATATTTGCCTCATAAGTGACATATACTTTGTCCAGAACAGTGGAAGCTTCATCTGAGCAGCAGATACCATACCCAGACTATTTACAGACACAAACCATCACGAAAGCCACACTGCAGAGAGGAACGCTGCAGGAAGCCTGCAAGTTGTTTGGATGACAGGACTGTGTATTTTATGCACTGGGTATCACTGTGGAGGACAATGGGAACCTGAAAGGAGAGGGATTGAGTCACTCCATAGCAACATCCACTTACCAAAGTCTGAAAGGCAGCATACTTCATTAGGTCTTTGTCCAGATCATGGTAGGTCAGCACTCGGTTCACCTGCACGCTGCAACCAGAAAGGGTCAAAGTACAAGCCTGGGTAAGTGTGGAAGTGCATCTGAGCAAAAGAGTGTCATGAACGGTAGCCTGGCGACACCTATTTCAAGTGTCCACATCACCCATGTGGACTCTTGAGATGGATGTCCCCAGGCGGAAGCATATTTCATTCAACAAATGAACAGTCATTGACAAATCTGTTGTGCACATGCATAAAAACAGGATGTGGAAAAATCATGGTCTCCCTCAGAGAAGCCAGCATGCTGGAGAGAAGATCCACAGTCTACCTGCAAGGACCAGACAGAAAACAGGAACACAGTGAACATTCAAACAGCCCCAGTGCCATAGCAAAGCAGGCTCTGAGCACCCTACCATACAAGCTACAGAACAGTAGGGACTTCATGATTTCTGTGTCTGAGCTGAGTCACAGCTATCAAATACCATTTCTTAAAATGTAGCCTTCAAAGAGAAACATGGCATAGGTGGGTAATATACTGTCATGCCATGCTACCCTTCACAGGTTATGCAATACTATAGAAAAGACCTCTAATTTCTTTTGTGTTTCTCCAAGAAAATCACTTGTCTTTTCTGTTGCAGGAAGACTATGGATACAGGAGGAACAGATGGGACTACAAAAAAAGAGAGAAAACACAGAAATTAACTCTGGTAAGAGATGAAGTGATTTTGAATTTACTACTATAAATTGTCATTTATTTTTGTTAACCATTATTTAATTACAATAACTACTCCATACTTGTGAGAGAGGCATCTGTGGTCAGCAGTAAGATATCCCACCCCTCCAAATAAGGGTCAACAGAAATCCCAGTCTGTGATCTTGGCAATAGGCCCAACAAAGAAGACTTTCCTGATAGGTTTAAGATAAAACCCCAGAAACTTCATTTTTTAAAAAACTTGCTGGTCTCCATTGAGCTAACCCCAAGACTACTCTGATAACACCTTCAAGCAACAGGATTGTACTTTGCAAATTAACTAGGCACTTGAGTAAGTGAAGGATATCCTGTGGAGGGCAAAGCAACCTATGACCACACATAATCAAAGTGTGTGTGATAATGCATGTGTACTGGAGGCATCTGGTGTTATACAGGCAACCTTAAATCAAGCAGTTCCTTTAGAGTTTGATTTTGCAACATCAAACATGTTATATAGGTTTTTTATATATGGAGAGAATATGCAGTAATTGCTTTCTCTGTGTAACAGGAAACAAGAAGTTTGCACTGTTCAGCTTGGAGCCCTGCTGCCACAATGCACAGCACCAAATCCTGCTGAATGGCACTGCTGCTGACATCCAGCGAGCATGAGATAAGGTGGAGTTTAATTTCACCAGCCATTTTGCACTGCTGATGAGAGCCTCAAGAGCACCTGGCAGTGCTTTTACCTGGGGGGAGCTGCCACTTGCATGGCCATATCTTCCTCCTGGACCTCCTCCAAGTCAGGGATCACAGGAATGTCTGCAACAAGAGAAAGCAGCAGCAGTAAGTGGGGAGTGTTGTGCTCTCCTCTCACTAGAGACAAAGGTTCCTTTGCTTCACAGATATGAAACAGCCTGTTTATTATTACAGGAAAACACAAGAGAGTTGTTTAGCAATGATTAAAAATATATTGTTTAATATTAAAACAATGCAATAAACCATTGAAGCTTGGGGTCAAAAGAAATCTTGCAAAAGAAGCAGATTTGGACTGGGCAGGACTCCATAGGCCATGGACCATGCATTTGAACACAACCTTGAAGCTGAAAGAAGCCAGCTGCACTAAACCCCGCTGCTTACTTGCCATCATCCTAAGACTGGCAAGAATTTGCTTCTTATGTGTTATCATTTGCTCAGGTCAGCCGCCAGTCACTTAGACTGTTAGAAATGAAATGTGGGACAGAAACTGAGAGAAGCCATGTAAAACTTCATGTTGAAGGAACTACTGGTGGGGTCTCAGGCTGTGCAGAGGCCTGTGACCTTCCTGATAGCTGAGGAAGAAAATGCTGGCAGTCTAGAAGATTCAAAGACTAGGGAAGATGCATCTAGTTCTAATGTCATAAACATTTTCATGATTTCCAGTGTGACTGTGGAATGGCTGATGTCTGGGTCACTGGGTACTCCCAGCACAAGGACTACAGCTACACCACTAAATAGGATGCTAGAGACAAAATAAGGGGAGAAAGGAGGAAGAACATGGTGTACACTGAATCCTACTAAAGGACCAAAGCTCTGAGAACACTGCATGGGTTTTGATGCAACAAAGTGCTGTAAACAGTTAGAAATGGAGAGAGAAAAAGGGAGAGGGAAGAAATGGGAAAGTAGCTGGAGGTACAAAGCAAGGACAGAGTACACTGGCACAGGGCTCCTTTAAAGGCTCAAGGCCACAAAAGCTCTCCAGAGACCCTGAGCCCTCAGACTGTGGAGAAGCTGGTGGTTTGGCTCTGGGAAGAGGTTTCCCTCGCACAGCGTATGGGCAGAGCTGGCTCCTTTGGCACCGGAGCAAGCAGGCTGCTCCTGGCTGTTGTCAGCGTGGCCATGCTACTGCTGGATGGCAGCAGGTGGCTGGGCCTGGCTTTGCCCCATTTTGCTGCCCCAAGCTGAGATGAATATTCAGGAGCTGGAGAGATGTTCCCACCTATGGCACTTGGGGCTCTGGGCAGGGTCTTCCTGAAGAGCCCCTTGTCCAGCCGCCTGTCAGAGCTTCGCAGGCTCTCAGCTGCCCTCTCCCGCTCAATGTCCACTGCACATCCCTGGCTCACCGGCCAGCGGGGTGCGAGGCAGCCCTCGCCCAGCTGCAGCAGGGCATGGGTCAGCCTGGGCTTTGGCACGGTAGCCGTTCGGAGCTGGCCACACAGTGGGATTTCTCGCTAATTGACTGCCTGGTGGAAGGTTGAGCGGGACAGGGGCTGCCTTGAGAGCCTGGCCACAGCAAAAGGCAGTGACAGCTTGGCTGGCCTCAGCAGAGCTGTGCCTTCTGGCTCCCCAGCCACCCAAGGAGCAGGTGCCTGCAGAGCTCTCCAACTACAGCAAACTTCCCCAGAACATTTAAAGGGAAACTGCAACAACAGACCCCAGGCCCCCAGGCTGTCCCTTAGATGGAGGAGGCATGTGCAAGAAATGCCTTACCAGTGCATCACTGGGCCTTTGGGGCAGATCTCTCCCTGCTCTGCTTGTAGAGACAATACACAGTAGTATCGTTGGCTCTTCACTGTAGGCCTCCCAGCTCTTGCTAAAACTTGTAGCAAAATGCAGTTACGGGACAAAAGCATCTCCACGGACAGACTGACCTGTGGAGGCAGCTGGTAAAGCCTGCTTGGTGATGATATGGGAGAAAGTCCCTGTAAATAAGCAACAAAGACCAAGGAAGGAACAGAGTGGTGAGACTGGTCCAAGGGGAGGAATGAAGGTACATAGGTGCCCTGTTAAGTGCAGACAAACAAGCATGGGAATGAGAAAGTCTAATCTCTCCTGAGCTAATTTATTCTTTTCAGCAGGAGACTATGAATGTTGCTCACCAAACACAACTAAATTAAGAACTACCTGTGAACAGAGCTGCCCTCACCCATGGAACAGCACTCCCTGTAGCAGGAGAAAGTCATATCCCTGTCCTCTCTTGACAGGAGAAATGTGAAAGGTGTTTGCAGCTAGCTGAATTTCTTCACTCAGTGCTCATTTTGGCAGCTATTTCTGGGGTCTCCTCCTCTTCCTCTGCTTTCACTGATTTCTTTTTGTACTAGAAAAAAAACTATAAACTTAAGGCCCACATCAGTGATGTTCCTCCCATTTTGCAGGTTCCTGAAGACTGCTGGATTCTTCAGTGCTGATTTTATCTCACTGCCATTGAATTCCATGGAGAGATTCCCAAACCCCTTGCAGAGTGCTACGTCTACTCTGTATTAGAAAAATCCAGGCAATCACATAGAAATTCTTTCCAAAAGAAATTCAAGGCTCCTATATTTTATAGACACTTTGAAATTATTTCAGACAGAAGAGCTGGAAACGCTCTGGGGGCTCCTGCCAGCCCCTCCAACAAAGGCCAGTGCATGCTTATTCTTACTGCAAAGTGCAGATGATTTGTCCATTGCTAGGCAGAAGCAAGGCCCTTTAGGACTGCCAGAGACTGACAGGAAACAGAACAAAAATGTCACAAATTATAAGAAAATATCAGTTCCTCAGGCTATCTGTTATCAGTGGCAAATCAGCCCTGAAATATTTGGGTCTTTATTTCGCTCATTACTCAGAATTTCCTCTTCCCTCTGCCAATTCCCATGGTGCCACCTCTCTCTCCACAACCCCTTTCCCTTCTCTCTCTCTGTACAGTTTGCAAAGTGTCTCAGTTCTCACTCTATCATCAAGGAGTCAACCTTTCCCCTCACTCAGTCTCCAGCCCCCTAATTGTTTCTGTTGCTCTTCTTAGGACTCAGATCTTATTCTCCAGAAAGCTCTGGTAACACAGCCAAGTCATGGCACTGTGTCAACTGCAGGGCTAGAAGTACATGGGCTATTGTGCTGCAGGACTGCAGGCATATGCTCTGCTTCTAATATTCCCCTTAGCTGTAGTGAGGCTACTTACATGTACCATTAATATATCCAGAAATGTTCATAGGACCATGTTCTACCAGCCTTGCACTGCAGATTTTTCCAATGACAAGGTTATATTACAAACTCTTACTCTGTGTGCTTTGCTTCTGTGACCCAAATTTTTTCCCCTCCTGTTCAATGCGGGGGCTTCAGATCATTTTCCATAAGCCTATGTTTTTGCTGCAGAATTTTGACACATACTTTACTGTCCAGGCTCTCATGTCTGAATTCAGTGCCCATATAGGTAAACCTTAGAAATTGCTGAAGAATGTACCTACATGCTAAGGAGCTGCCTGTGTGCAAAAGAGGACACCTTCACAGATAACAGGTCACTGCAATGAAGTGAACAAGTGGCCTGTGCATTACAAAAAGAAAACATTTTGCAGCTGAGTAGAAGGGGTAGTTTCAAAACCTGGAAACAAAAGATTATTCTCTGCAGTCCAGTTATATGTTTTGAGGGTGCTTTTTTGTATAACTTGGATGCATTTTGGAGAGCAGCTTCCATATTGTCTTTAATATCAACCAATTTTAATCAAAATAGGCAAATCTCAGAAGCAACGTGAAAATCTTACAGCTTCAGCTGTTTTTCTCCCACTTTCACATCCTTTCCTGAAGACCTTGAAATCAGAACAAACTGATATGATACTAATAGTAAGAAACATTAAAAGTTGAGTTACTGTTAAAAAAATACTGAAAAGGGGGAACAAATTGAGTACAAATCACCTTACCAACCTTGGTCTCCCAGCTGGCCTCTGAACACTGTGCTGCTAAGTACTGTTACCTATGACACCTCCCTCAACCATCCTCCCCCAGATAGAACTCCTCTGAATCTCCATTTCATATGGCAGATATCATTCCCAGAGTAAGTGCTCCTAAAAATGACACTCACTCTCCCCCTGAGAGTGAGCATCCTGCTTTCATTTTAGCTGAAGAGAGGAGAAAATAGGTAGACACACACATCAGGTAGTGTTTTACAAGCAGCAGAAATTACTGTATGCAACAGAAGATGGAGGGGAGAACATAAACTCAGTGCATGCAGTGACCTTAAAAGAGGAATGTAGGAGGCTTCTCTTTATGGCTCAAAATGACCAGGAACAGAGTAACAGGAAGTCTTTCCCCATGGATTTCTCAGCCCATAAAGAAACAAGATATTTGCTTTAGAAACTGCTCATGGTAGAGATGTGAAATGCTGACTAAGCACCAAATGCTAGGTGATGAATGCAAACTCCCCTCCATCTCCCAGATGATAGTGAACAAGAGTCAACAAAGAATGAAGCCAAAATGAGTGTATCCTTGCAGAAGTTATGGTGGGGTAGGAGACACCAGTATCAAATGTTGACTAATAGGGGTGTTATACTGCACCAAACATTATCTCAGAACATCTAAATCCCAGCATATAAGTAAGAATAGCAATTTTATTACAATAGAGGGACTGAGCTAGGTCCTACACAAAAACAGCTTCATGACTAAGTTATGGCTAGAGACGAGTAGCATAAGGCAGAAATGTGTGGATGATAAGAGGAAAAGATAGAGGGGGAAAAACCAAGAGTAACCCATGCTACATGCAGATAGCCAAACAATAAGCAAGGAACAGCGGTTTTTCAAGTCATAAACAAAGGAGGACTTCATGCATTCATATTAGAGTACATACAGTAACCATCACCTTTTTTACCTCCTGGCAAATAACTTACTGACTGAGAGCTGAGGAAGAAAACCAGAGAAAGCAACAAGCAGGAGGTAGAAGAACCTGCACCACCTTAACACCCAGTCACTCCTACACATTGGTGAGTTACACTTCCCCTCTCAGGCAGAGCTAATTTTTGCTTTAGTACCAACACCTGAAAGCTGGGTCCCTTAAAATCCTGCAAGCTCATACTAAGATCTGGTCCTAACCCCAA